TGAATGGAGGGCAATAGGAGAGCCAGAAGACAGGAGTGAACCGGTGTGACTAAAGGAAATTAGTCAGAAATAGGGAAATGATAATTTAAGAAATTGGATTTGGTTTATAGAATAACTAGATGTCTCAATGAAGAGTTTAACTTGCTCAGAAAAGCAAAGATGAGCCACAAAAGTTGTTTAGCAGAGATGACATCGTGAAGCTGTGTTTCAGGAAAGTGAGCCTGGCAGGAGGGCAGAATTAACAGAAGAAAGGGAGAGAGACTCCAGGTAGAGAAGCCAGTTAAGAGGCAGTGTGGGTAGAGCAACCATGAGTTTGTTGTTGGAACTACATGAGCAAAGCAGGAGTGGAAGAGAGGGAAGAGCACTCACCCAGGAGCAGTGACGGAATTAAATGGTTACATGAAGGCGAGAGGGTTAGAAAGGACGTTTTCAAATTTGTTTATGAAAGAATTTTTAAAAACAGGGGAACAGAGCTCACCTGTATCATTTTTTGTAACTGCCCTAGGTAACTCTTAAAACCCTCTAAAGACGCGCAAGTTAAAATATTTAGAAAAGGGAGACTCTAGGCGCCCCCATGCTCCTTTCTCTTTCTTTGCTTTTTTTTTTTACTTTTAGGCATCTTCTGTGTTCTCTAAAGCATGTTCATCTTTATATATCTACTTTTTATTTAATAGCTTGAAAATATCCCTAGGAAGCAATGCAGGTTTCAATATACTCTCTCCTAGCACACTTTCTTTTCCCTTCCTCCTTTCCTTCCTCCCTCCCTCCCTCGCTTCCTCGCTTCTTCCCTTCCTTCCTTCCTTCCTTCCTTCCTTCCTTCCTTCCTTCCTTATTTTTTTTTAAAGCAAAGGGAGAGGGAAGCTGGCTGAGTCACAGCTCTAAATAGGTCATTGCTATTGAATAAAGGGAGCCCTGGGTGATGAAGTTAAATGGCCTCTTCTCTCACAATGTTAAAAGCACTTTACCCTGTGTGTTTAAGCTGTCCATGCACCATGCTCTCTGGTTGATTTTTTTCAAAGTTGATTTAATCCTGGCACTTCATAAGATGTGTGTATCCATTAAAGCAAGAAGATTTTATTCATGTTCAAGGGAAATCTCTGAAAGGGTGGAATAAAACCAAACGCATGGAAAAAAGCTCAAATTTGGCAACGGGAAAACACAGATGTACAAGTTAAGTGCAAGATTTCAGGAGACGTGCTTCCCCCCACCTCCCCTCAAGTAAGTTTCTAATCAAATGCCAGAATGAAGAATCAGAACCTGCCAAAATTTCCTACTTGGCTGCCTTAGCTCTTGAAATCATTCTTTTTTTATTGCATCTGACTAGGCTGAGAACAATAAGGGAAATGCCCACCGACTGATGATTCTGGCAATTTTGTGAATTATCACATAAAGTGAAATGGTGAACTACATTCCTTTCTCCATGGGGTTTATATTCACGCTCCCACTCACGCTTGGCATTCACGGTCAGCTCGTTATCACTGCTGCCACCTCTCTGCTTGGTGCAACAGCCACAAAACTACGCTGCCGAGGATAAGAATGTGGTGTGCTAATCTTCTTGTGTCTTTAAGACTAAAAATAGAAATAACCTATTTAAGAAAATTATTTAGATTTGTATACTTCTTTCCTTCTGTTTTCTTCTCTTTCTTCCTCTCTTTCTTTAGGAAGCTCAATGTGATTAGCCTCGATTAGGGTCGTGCAATAGCAGAGAAAGAACACACTTCAGAGATTCCCCGTAGAATTTTTGCCTGCAACCCCCAGGCTGCAGATTTTACTGGCTTTCTGAGAGGAAATGAGCTAGGTGTGATGAGATGACTAAGACAGAAACTGGCGAACATCTCAGGTTCAGTGATCAGTTATCAGATTGGAAGTATTTAGGAGGCACAGTGTGTTCTGATGAAATTTCCAAGGCTGCCCACTCAAAAAAAAAAAAAAAATGGGAATTTTAGAAGATTTCGTCGTGCCAAATTAAAAGCGTTAGACATTAAGTATAGTTCAATTAAGGAAGTGTTGTGCATCATTAAGGAAAAAATAGAACAGATGTACTAAAATTATAATGAGCTAGAGAAAAATGAAAGAAATAAGGTCAGGATTATTGATTTATTCTTGAGCAACTACTATATACCAATCTCCATGTTCTATATTGATCCTATAAGGATGAGTTAGACTTCGTTCCTTAGCTTACGGAGTTGATCTTGGTACATGAAAATGTCTTTTAGACACTAAGAAAATGCTTCCAAGTTGAGTTAGTCACTTTCTCTCTCCTCTTGTGTCTACTTCTTGTGTCACATGGTAGAGTCCAGTTTCCAAAGGAACTAACAGCATTAATTTTGTTGTAGGTGAGCTTTTCACACCACAGGTAGGCTACGGAAAATCCAGTCAGTGGTACATGTTACTAGTGAAAGAACTTGAAAACATAGTGTGATGTTCTGTAAAGGAAAATAAATATCTATATGTAATGACTGCTCTATGTAACTCACTAAAGAATTCTAGATTTAAGCATAGTTCCCTTTTAATAGAAGCCAGTTTGTCTATATCAGTATTCCCTGCCCATCACTCATGAGCCCACTAAATAATTTTACTTCTTAAGACTGTACATAACTCAGAGAGTTCTTTGTACTGTTACAGATGTTACCAACCCATTCCTTAATCCTCCAAAATCCTCTGAGAAATATAGTTAAACCATAACTAACCAATGTTTTCCTCATAATCTTCCAAGAAAGAAGAGCTTGTATAAAAAAAAAAAAATGGACCCTGGAAGATGAAAGGACAAACGATTAGGAATTCTAAGAAAAGTATGCAAGTTCTAAAAGGAAATATAATTATAAATATAATTATAGTATGCTGCTTGAATCTTTAACAGGAAAAAATGTAAACAGTATAAGAAGATACAGTTGTAACAAAATAACTGAATTGGGGATGGGGAAAGTAAGTGAGGTAGTGTAAAAGAACTAGATTCTCATCTACTATATAATATAGTAAATAGGTGATATCTAAAATTTTTAAATTGAGAAATAGAAGTACAGGAAAAGAAACTCTTCTAAATTAAATGAGACTTAAAAATCTAGTGCATGGTCTCAGATTGAACCAACCAGCTGCAAAGGCTATTTTAAGAATAACTGGGGAAATTTGAATATGTACTGTTTTATAGGATATTAAGAAATTGTCATTTTTGTGATATTTAGTTATGCGTAATAAAGAATGTCGTAATTTTAATCTATTTTAAAATATGTAAGCATTTTAGAATACTTTAAACAGACACATATCGACATTTACAAAATAGAGTTTTTTACTTGATTTTGAACACATGTATGCATTCTCTTGATTTTAAAATGTGTTTAAGTAATTTTGACAATATATCTCTGGATTAGTAGACATCCAAGTGCCACTTCCCAGCCGCCACTATATCGTACAGTTGAAGCTAATCTTTTTGAAGATGACTCTTTTGTTTTGCAAAGTTCTAAACTTTCAAAAAACAATTACAATCAGTGCACTTAATTAAACAAGAATGCAGACTAACAGTGTGTAGAAAGGTTTTTCATGATCAGATTGAAACAAAGAGAGATTGTAAACTAGAAAGTTAAATTAACCAAGTCTTCTCTAAGTGTTCTGATTGGTTAATGGGCATGGTTAGCAAGCCTCAATCAAACTAAAAATGCACATCTTAACCAACTTAAAGGTTGATGGTTAAGATCAGGGCAAATGTGTTTAGAATACCAAGGGAGCTCCTCCGTCAGTGTGATTCTCAGGGTAGAGGGGATACTGGGAGCATGACCTACTTTAAAAATGGACAAAATCATCTTCCATTTTAATGGTAAAATTAAGATTGTTAGTGGATTTAATGGTGAAATAAAACACCATACCTGAGAGAAAATGACTTCCAGAAAGAATTTCACCTCAGAATGCATTTGACATATTAAGTAATATTGTACAAATTTAACAGACTTGTTGGTTGGTTGGTTAACATTTTTATTACTTAAATCTCTTTTGCATTAGATGTAAGTAAGATACCTAAGGTGGAAGGCTTTTTAAAGTATTATATGAATCATAGGGACAAATGAAAGGTCATCTAAAGAAGGACACCATTACATTGAGGGAATATCCACACATTTAGTTAATTAGAATGGCATACTAACACAGTCATATTTTAATTTGGTGGGACAGTATTGACATGTAAGTACTAATCCATTTAATTGGTTGATTTTAACTCATTCATATGTGTAATCAGTTATTATTCCTTCAACAAATAATTACCGAACGTTTATATATACAAGTATTTCTGCTAGGGACTGAGAAAACAGTGGTAAACAAGACAAACATGATTCTCACTTGACAGTCTAGTGAGGAAGACAGATATCAAACGAGAAATTCAAATGAAACATAATCAACATTCTTAGGGAAGAAGTCAATGAACGTATTGAGAGCACATAGCAAGGAACCTAACCATGTCACTAAAAATATAAACTAGGCACCTCACAGCTCTCTCTCCAGCCCACCCCTTTCCTCAGGATTAAAAATTCAAAACTACAGAATCCCCAGCGATTTGGGTGGCTAGTTAGGAATAGATCTGTCACGGCTGAATATATAATCCCTCTACAGGGCACTGTCTCCATTAACAATGCAGTTTGTGTCAGCTTTGTTTTCCTGGTAAATACATAGTAAGCTTTGTATCCTAAAGAATGCTGGGTGGGGCACTTGCCAGAATTATGGAGATGGGATGTCTTTATGGATAGCTGTTCAGATAGGTCACAAGGTGTAAGATAAACCTGCTCCTAACTCAAATATAGATACCAGTATGGTAGCACCAAGTGATTCCAAAGAGACTGTCAAAATGAGTCTGGAACACCTAGATTGTCTCCAAGCATTTGGGTTGGATAGATGGGGTAGGACCAGCTAAGTGAGTTATGAAATTCTAACTGTAAGAAAATGTGTGTTTCTCTTGTGAGCTAGATTTGCATCATATTCTAAATAACTGGTGTTATTATTGTTCATTTGTTTTTCAGAATGTCCTCATCGTTGAGGTAAGCTGACTTTTCCTTATCCGTATCTGAAACTTGAAAGAATCTAATGGTGAGTTTTAAAATATAGAACTTGTTATCAAATTGGCCAAGGATTTATTGAGTTCCCACTGTGCACATGGCTCTCCAGATTTATCAACTAGGAGCCAACTAGAACTGCTGACTTGAAATAACTTCGGAAAATGCTCTGCAATAATAGCTGTGTGGCACCTTATCCTTTTTTATATTTAATTTCACACACGTCTAAATTGTTCTTATAGCTATTTGTAAATCGTGTATTTTTACAGAAAAGGAAAGTAGCCCTCAGAACCAATTTTATTTAATAGTAAAGCCAACGTCAGAGCTCTCTTCACCTTTAAGTGAGTGTCCTTGCTAATGACCTCTAATGGCTGAGCAATTCTATCTTCACTATCCAAATCATAAACATAATCAATTTTAAAATGACAATCCAAAGGAAAATCATGATTTAATTTAATTGGTTTTTCTGTTTAAAAAAAGGAGAAAGAGAAAGAGAGAGAGAGAGAGGAAGGCAAGGGAAGGGAAGGGAAGGGAAGGGAAGGGAAGGGAAGGGAAGGGACTGAAAACAAGCTTTATGGCAGCAGCGGACTAATACAGCAAATGTCCATGTGTCCTTCAAGAGCACACCTGTCTTATCAGCTGGCAGTAACTCAGGAGAGCTGTTTTCAAGCTTTTGTTACACCACTGCCCGTGCATGCCATATGTATCTGCAGTTCCTCTGGCTCAGACATAACCCGTGGAATCGACCCTCTAGCCAAATGAATTGCCCAACCCTGGCTAAATTCAGACCTCTTGTTTTGATAATCAGCTCCTGACAGCTGATTTCTGTCCCCGGGACAATAAATTTCTGCTGCCCATTCTACTCTAATTGCACAGCAGCTCATCAGCAGAGATGAGCCTCGGCTCATTGCAGCCTCTCACCCTCAGAATTCAAGAGCTGTCACCAGCTGCCGTCCAGACACATCTTACTTCCCAGCCCTAGAGTCCTTACTGAGTGGGGAGGGTAAGGGGGAGGTGTTTATCCATTCAGTGTGTTCAGCTGTACATCCCATGTCCATGAAAATTCATGCGTCCTCTATTGTGTCGCATAACCTCAGGGCCGAATTTAGGCTTTGAATGTGCTTGCACAAGTCCAAATGGACTCAATGAGAAGGCCCACATGCTCTCCAAAGGCTGAATTTAGCTTTTGAACACAGCTCAAGGATTCAAGGAAATACTCACCAATATATTGCCCCAAACCCAGCTTCCAGATAGAAGCGCCTATTTAAAAATTACATCCAACTCTGCCTCCTACTTTGACTCCAATTTGATGGCAATTCTAATTACGATGCATTATTAATAAGGAATATCATTATCTGTGTGGATGAAAAATCTGCTGCCCAAATGCATCTGGTTGAATTTGTCTGTCCCCTTTGCAAAGGATGTTGTCGGCACGGGGAGAACCATGAAAGCGCTGCTCAGTAGCATAGAGAAATACAAGCCCAACATGGTTAAGGTGGCCAGGTGAGTCGGACATCACATTGTCATGGTTTCTGTCTTTGCAAACGTGTCCAAGAGGGACGCTAACACAGAGGGCTGTTTTCAAAGAGTGCGGTCTATGCCAAACCAATGACGTTTCGCTCTGGAGTGTTACCGTTTGACCACACTGGACAAACGACCCATTTTGACTGCTTGCCTGAGAGAGAGGCAGGGGAAGAGGATGTGCTTCACTATGGCTGAGCCCCTCTTTACTGCACCTGGAGCTGATTCCAGGAGCAGCTGGCTGGGCCCCGCTGCCAGTCCCCCCTCCCTCTCTTTTATCCAGAATCACTGAGGTGGTGCCACAGGAGCAGAAGCATGAATTAAAGGGCTGCGATCATGCCTCACCTGCTCAAAGCGGGGGGCGGGGGACACATTTTAAATCTGTATTGTAAGGATGTTTGGTTCCGTTTGCAATTTACAGAGATTTTATTCGGTTCACTAAAGTTTTGTTTTGTTTCTTCTTAATGGTAGTTTGTTGGTGAAGAGAACACCTAGAAGTGATGGCTTTAGACCCGACTGTAAGTGTTTTTGCCTTTTATTTGTTGATGGGTTGGTTGGTGGTGGTTTGTGTTTAAGAAATTCCTATCTGATGGCATTCCATGTGAAGCTGAAGCTGTATAGGTTTGATCTTCCCGTAAGCTCCCCGTGGCCTCCCAGCTTTGCTAGTGAGAGGAGAACTCTTTACAAGGGGCTTCATTCTCATGTGCATCGTTCACAGAAACTTGATCGTGCATGGATATTTTGGTTTTTAGGTTTTCCATAGCACCTGAATTTCAAAGAACTCACTAATAAGTTTCAGGAGGTGGAGGGAGAGTAGACTTCACTGGACTCACTCGGACACACGAATTGGACAAGCAAAATCACTGTAAAGGTTTAGAGAGATTCTCGTATACCATCTCCAGGAACTGTCACCAGACAATGCACAATGCTGACCTTCAGTGAGCCTGAATTTTAGCACACAGAAGGGGAAATCTGAGAAATTGCCCCACCACCTCCAAACGAAAGTTCAGTAACACAAAGAATTAAATGTACAGCAGAGGGAATATCATCAGTAATATTGTAATAACTTTGTATGGTGACAGATGGTAACTGGACTTACTGTGGTGAGCATTTTATGATATATAAAAACATTAAATCCCTATACAGCTGAAACTAATATAATATTGCATGTCAACTATAATTCCACTACAAAATTAAAAATAAAATATACTTTCACAGAAATAAACAAACAAAAAAATAACACAGAGAATTAGCAGAGCGGTTTCTCTAGATAATACCTTCACACTTGACTGCAGACGTGTGTCCTGGAAGAGTTTCCTCATCTAGGGCAGAAAGAATAAACAAGCAGCTTGATTATTTATTATTATAACATTGGAGGTGGTTTTTTTCACTCTCATAGGCAGACTTCAGCTTGACTTTTACAACTTACGTTTGCTCTAAAGCCTCTGAGATAATTTGGCTACAGTTCTCATCAGCAAGCTGAACAAACATTAGGGCAAGAGAAGCATGCTATGGAAGGGTAGTGTGCCAGTGACATTCAGCCAGTGATGATATTCTAAAAACAAGTTTCATTCCTACACTGGATGTATTAAATCTAGGCAATGTCCGTTCTGGATGGATCCACCCAATGGTGCATTCCTGGCAAGTTCCTGGCTTGGGGAATTTACTCTGGATGTAGCTAAGACTGGACAGGTTAGAAAACAGAAATATTCTAAGAGAATAATGTCAGATACTGTACAGCAGAGGTCCCCAAACTTTTTGGCACCAGCAACCGGCACCCCTTATGAGAATCTAATGCCTGATGATCTCAGGTGGAGCTGAGGCAGTGATGCTAGCTCTGGGGAGCGCTCACAAATACAGATGAAACTTGCTCACTGTCCAGCCGCTCACCTCCTGCTGTGAGGCTCTGGTTCCTAACAGGCCACAGACCTGGTCCATCGTGGCCCAAGGGTTGGGGACCCCTGCTGTACAGAAAAAATTTTAACTGAAATTGAAAGACATTCACTTCAGACACATTCAACTAATTACAACTTTCTTGTCACTTATAGCAACAACAATAACAAAGTAATAACAGCAAACACTAGTAAGAGGTTATGATGTACCTGATACTTCTGAGAGCTGCACAGAGATTAACACTTTTAACCCTCACAACATTCTTCTGAGGTAGGTGCTATCGTTATGCCCGCTTTACAGATGAGGAAACTAAACACAACGAGGTTGAATCGCTCGCTTGCCAAGGTCACATATCTCTAAGGGTAGAGTCAGTATTCAACCCAGGCAGTCTGGTTGCAATCACTGCTCTGATGCCTGCACTGCATCTGTAAGTAACATCTGCAAATGCAAATATCAGTGTAGGAACTGCACCCATTTACCAGTGAGAGATAGGTCCCTCTGATTTCTGACTCTTCTCCTGTCCTACTCATCCAACGTCCTTTTATTCCTTGACAGCTCTGAAGGACTGGCTTTCTGAACTGCCTTTTCCCAGTCTGAGTTGCCATGTCTATACTAGGGTTTGCATTGCTTACTGTAAAGTTATTTTTATTGTTATAACCAGGGTTGTACAGTTTCATAAAAATAAGCAAGAGTCTCTCATCTGCAATATTGTGATAAACAAACATAGATCCCAAAAAGCTAGAAAGAGTTTGAAAAATCCTTGGACCATGAGCACATTTATTCTGTTTCAAGACCTCCAAAAGAGAGCTATGATCTGTTCCTTAAGGATCCTTTTCAATCAAAGTCATCTTTCTTTCAATAATAAACTCTTCCTTTGCTTAACCTAAGTACCTCTTACCGCATTTAAATCCATTTACTCTCCTTCTGCCCTTTATACAAATATAGGACTAATTAGTTCATCTGTATTGTAGACTCCAAGACTAGCGTTGGAATAACCCTTAGCCTTCTCTTCCTCAAGCTGAACAATCCCATTTTCTTCCATCTCGTCTCCCAGGTTTTGCTTTCCACCCGCATCCTGCCGAGGACATTGAGCCTCCTAGCTGCAGCAGCCTGCGCACCTACTCACGTATCACAGTATATTAATACCTTCTGTGCGAACTGCACTTTATGCTTTTCAGAGTGTTTCCTTTGGCATCATATCTTTGGATCCAGCTTGCTGTGGAACAGCAGGGCTACATGACTGATTCCTGCATGCATACTCCTTGTTATCCACCAAACTGCCTGAGCCTTTGCTTAGCTCGGGATACCAGAAGTACAGTCGTTGATTATACATTTGCTTGTTTGTCTTGTCTCCCTGAGTACTCACGCTGGTCCCAGTCCCTACGGGGCTCATGCATTGCTTATCACTTTTTTCATTTGCTTCTGCCTACGTGAATAGTCCTCTCCGTTGAAATGCCAACAATAGCATATGGTGGCTTTGTACCTATGTTATCTAAAGCTTGTTCCTCTCTCTCTCTTTCTCTCTCTGTCTCTCTCTGTTTTTAGATGCTGGATTTGAGATTCCAAACTTATTTGTGGTGGGTTATGCCTTAGATTACAATGAATACTTCAGAGATCTGAATGTAAGTGTTGCGTGCAAATCTCTCCTTCTCTTTTCACAAGTTTGTGTTTAATAGTTACATCAGTTTTTTAAAAGATATTGAAATAGTAGCAATGATGGCTGCCATGTCTTGAGTATCTTCTATGTCAGGAATATTCTGGGCACTTTGCATGTATAATTTCAATTCATTCCTCCTACTGTCCTACAAGGTAGGAATTAGGATGATAGAAGCAATTATGACTATCTCTATTTTATACTAAAGAAATAAGGAAGCTAACAGCAGAACTATGGCTTGGTATTGACTTTTCTCCAAGTCGTTGACTACGCCCACCCACCCAAAGTAATAGTCAATATTCTATAAACTGCTTTATGTCAGTACTTCAAACCCATCAGGTACCAGTTACGGTGGCATGCAGCTATTCATCATTATTCCCAGTTTGGGAGCCATGGTTTTAACATATAGACATGGAGCCTAGCTGTGTGACCCTGACCAATGCTGAATGATTTAGAAGTAGACATCTTACCCAAAATGGACCAGCAAGTCTCCCTCTCTCTCTTTTAAGAATTAGAAACTTAAACCAAAAGTCACAGAAACCAAGTGATTTGGGGCTTAAGCTGGCTGTGTGGGCTGAGGTCTGGAGCCACCCCTGTACCTTCCAGTTGCTTCTCGCTCAGCCTTCCTTTGCTTCTGTCAGCTACCCCAGCATTCGACCAATAAACCCCGCTCCTTTGCTACATTAGCCCCATTCCACTTCTGTTGCTTGCAATAAAAATATTCCTGACACATTTTTTATGCTACCTGAAAAGGATCAAATAAGAGTCAATATTATTTTTATTGCCATTTCTTCATTCACCGTAGAGGCTGTAATTTTACCAGTAGGAGACTTCTATCTCCACCACAGCCAACCATACCGCTCCCTCGGCTTTTCCGGTTGTTACAGACCTAGGGAACCAAATTCAGAAAAGGGCTCAAAACCAAAACAATGAAGAAAGTTTTGTCAAGCATTTGAACGGATCTCTTTAGATTTTATATATATGTAAAATATACACACACACATGCACACACACACATAAATACACATACATTTAGATAAACAGTAACCAATTATGAGATGATATTCTGTTATTACTGCATAACATTTTCTGCACCTGATATTTTCTTAAGAAACTGATGCATTTTTAAGGGAATACAGTCAATAATACTGTAATAACTATGTAAAATGTAAGATGGGTACTAGACTTATCAGAGTGATCATTTTGTGAGTTGTCTACATGTCTAATCACTATGTTGTACTCCTGAAACTAATACCATATGTCAACTGTAATTGAAAAAGAAAAAATATTAATTTTTATTGTTTCAGCACATATGCGTGATCAATGAACACGGCAAAGAAAAGTATCGAGTCTAAAGTATTAAATTCTCACCATCGAACCTCCAGATAACATCATCCTTCTAACTACATTCAGGAAGCCAGCGTTTAAAGTTTGTCTCCTCCGGCGTCTTCACTCAGCAGGATAGAAAAGAAAAAATGTTTTAATGAGAGAGCTTTCTTTTCTGAGACTATAACACAGAGAATATCGAAGGTTCTTAAGGAAAAGAAAGCAATGCTTTTATTTGACTCGTTCCAAATTAAACACTCCGCCTTGTGACTAACAGTTCTGGCGACCTTTACACTCCTGAGCTCCATCTTCTTTTCTTTTCTTATGTTGTGCTTGATTCCTATACCCCTACCTAGTTACTCAAATATTTCACTTACCATTACCCTTTTTTTTTTTTTAAATAAATACTCTATTTTTGGTAACCGTTCACAGTCTTAAGAACCTGGAAGCCTTTTAAGTTAAGCTCCGAGCCCATACGTATACTGGGAAGGCAACTAAATTCCCATACTAAAAAAAGGAGGGAAAGGACAATTTAATATAAATTTCTGTTTGTGCTCTTCTGACAGGCTGTCATTATCCGCTTTGACAAAGCCTTTCTGAGCCGCAGTGTACAATGCATTTTAATGATGTTATGAACTGAGATTTGCTCAGTGCTCTTGATTGGTGCTTCCGGTATGTGATAACGGTATGTCATGTGTGCATGGATGTACTCAACTGTGCTTAATACTTTGAATTTTAATGAGAAAAAATACAATGGCAGCAAGGCCCCGGTTTCTAAGTGGCATCCTTTTATTCATGTGGGACATGAGCAAATGGCAGGGTTAGGGGGAGGGGCAAGAGCGTTCAATGCTCAAGACTAAGCAAGTATAATTTTTTCCTCTTATTTGCGCCAAAGGAAAAAACACTCATGTATTATCCTAAACAGGAACAGAGAGGTCGAATTATTATTTTAAGTGGTCTTAGAAGATTGATCACAAAATCCGAGGCACTGTAGGAAAAAAAAAGTGTACTTGAAAAAGTTTTTTTCTGAAGAAATTTTTTCCATGTTCTCTGTTTTGTGAGATGTTTTCTAATTTATAAGGATTTTAATTGACAGTAAACTCGAGTGCCAATAGAGCTGTTTTTTTCTCACTTCCTAAAAGGAGCAAATGCAAAATAAATAACTAAGCAGCCTTTGTTTCCGAACCGTATGTGGCATATTGTTATCAGGTTCTAGCTTCCTTTAAACTAATAAAGAATAAGAAACCTTGTTATGTTTCATAACTGCTTACTGTTTTTCTTCCGCCTTCATATTTCTTATATACTTCCAGCCATTAAAATGTGTGTGAGCTGGTAGCTTAAATATACTACTGCGTATATCTTCCCTGTGGCTTTATTTTGTTAACCTGGAAAAAATCCAATATATGCACCAGTATAATAAGCAAATGATGAAGCCAGACTTGATCTGCTGTTTTTTTTTTCCTTAAGCTTGTTTATGAGAACAAGAAATTTTAGTAGTAGAAGATTTTCCTGCATATTTTGGTTCTAGCCAGAGAAGAAAATAAACCACACCCAGATATCCCAAGAGGAAATCAGCAAAGAGAATTCCTTCTAGCATCGAGGAACCAGTATCCAAGTTATAGATTGATAATTCTGTCTAACTGGCCTCTTTCTTGAACTATCAAAATTAATATTCTAAACACAATTTTTCATTATGCCACATTTATATCAGAGGACCTAGAATAATCCAGACACCTTTGATTTTAAATGTAAAATTATCCATAAAGTATGTATTATTAAAATATTTTCTTTAAAATGTTGGATTGTAGTAGCCATCAGTATTATTTTTGAGGATTTTATTTTTATTCAAATTAAAAAGGAAGCTGATCTGCTTCACAAGAGTTTGAGGACTTGTGCTCGTTAATGCTGAAAAAGAAAAATCCACTAAATACACAAGAAGTTTAATCATTTCTGCAATTTTTTCCTATCAGATAACATTTTGACAGTGATATCCAAGAATATCATCTTGGGAAAAATAGAATTTTCTTTTCTCTTGCAAAACTCTAGTCTTTTTAATACCACTGAGTTTATTCAACCTAGATCAAAAATGTAAAAGCTTTTTACCTGATTAATAACCCAAGAATTTATTAATTTCGTGGTCAAAAGCTGATGGCGGCGAGGGGTGGGGGGAAGTGTACGGCATGTTTCACTGGGAAAATTTAGATTCAGTTACAATAATTCATAAGACTTTTACTATAATAATACGGTAACATAATTAATAATACTTTGGGGTCTTCCAAATTAGAACCACTCATTGCAAAAGGGACCTTTCTTCCTGGATTGCAGCGTGTCGCAGATTGACCATGTACCCCCAATGTGAACTGCAAATACAGTTGACCCTTGAACGACACAAGTTTGAACTGCACAGGTTCATGTATATACAGATTTTTTTTCACTAAATATATTGGAAAATGTTTTGGAGAGTTGTGATAATTTGAAAAACTCTCAGACAAACCTTCCAATTTTCTTAACGTTTTCTTTTCTCTAGAACTTACCTTATGGTCAGAATACAGTATCTAATATGTATAACACGCAAAATATGTGTTCATCTATTGTTTATGTTATCGGCAAGGCTTCCGGTAAACAGTAGGCTATTAGTAGTTAAGTTTTGAGGAAGTCAAAATTTATACCTGGATTTCTGACTGCATGATGATTGGCACCCCTAACCCCTACAATGTTCAAGGGTCAACTGTAGTCAAATCCTGATGTTTCTTGCTTAATTTTTGGATGTCTTTGGATATAACATGTTTGCCGTGTTTTGGTCTTCTGAGAGTGTGAAAACAGCCTTTTAGAGCATAAGCATGCATTTCCCTAGCCTCCTCTAGCGTGAAATTGTGTTCTCCCAGTGGAGACAGAAGGTAACTTATCCCACTTCTGGAGACCTGGTATCATCGAAATATTTCCACAATCTCGTAACAGGGCTAGTATGTTCTAGGGAATTGAAACTCTGAACCATACTCTCCGCCCAGATGTCTGGCTAATGTGGGCGAAAATGGTGTTTAGGAGTTTTACTTACCTTGCTATTATAAAGTTCCTTTGGGGGATCCCCAGATGACTTTTGAAGACTGGGGGCAGGCCAGTTTCATAAAGGGCAAAAGGGGATTGTAGAAGGGAGATTTGCAAGTCGATGCTGGGAGGTGTGCAGAAAAAAGAAAGAGGATGTCCATGGAGAGGGCTGCACTGTTTCCTGGCCGCGGTCATCCCCCATGATTGGTTCTGGACCCTGTGAAGAGGAGTAGACAAGGATGCCGCTGCAAGATCTCTTTTTATAATAGCCTTTGTGCCACACGGTGGGGCAGACAGGCCATTCTCCACATTTCATTGAGGATCGGGCCACAGCTTTGACACAGGAAGGAGTGGGAAAACAGCTCTATTTCCGGATGCCAAGGATTCTATAGTTTGGGGAGCCCTCCGGGCTGGAATGGGTGACCAGTTTAGGTGGTTCACAAGATGCTACCCGTTAGACGATTTATGGACAACAGTCATCCACACGGAGACAGAGCAGCCCATCAGAGAAATGTCAATGGGCGCGAGCAAGAAAACGCTGAGCATCCCAGAAACACGGCTACTGCCTACGATTATACAGCCGGTGCTTCTGGGGCCCTGTGTAAGGACATGTGACCAAGCGGAGCACGTAGGGGCAGAAACCCAGCCCACATTTCACTTGCTAAGCCGTGGACTCCGACTGAGGACTGCATCAGCCCTCCAAAAACAGTGTCTTTTTCTAGGAGTGTCTTTTTCAGTCCACTCAAAAAATAATGGTTTTTTTGTATGTAATTTCTCAGGGGCAGGGGTGGCTCTTTCTGCTAGGGTGGGTTTTGCTCAGAAATGAATGGGGGAGAGCATGAAGGCAGGGTGGGGTGCTGAAGTCTTGTGTTTTACAAGTGGGAGAAATAAGCCTGAACTTCCGTTAATGTGACCTCATTCGTTTCCAGAGCCTGGTGGGTGTTGACTAGTGAATAAGCTGTGAGTGAGGATAGTAAGTATAGATGACTCATTTAAGAAACCAGCTGTGAAGAGAAGAGACACATAACCATAGCTAGAGGGCTTTTAAAAGATGGGAGAGACTTGTGCATTTTTATTTGCAGTAAAGAACAAAAAGCAAACCAAAGCATAGACAGAATGTGTTATCAATTGCTGTGTAACAAATCACTCAAAAGTGAGTAGCTTAAACCAACAATAATTATTTATTATTTCTCATGGCTTACAAGTTAGGAACATGGAGAAGGCACAGTAGAAATGGTTTGTTTTCTGCTCCATAATGCCTGTTGTTTCCTAGGTGGTCTCCCATCCAAGTACTAACTAGGTCCAACCCTGCTTAGCTTCTGAGATCAGATGGGATCGGGCTTATTAAGGGTGGCATGGCCATAGACAATTAAGATGCTTAAGTTTTAAATATGAAAAATATAATTCGTTTTTGCTTGCTAAGGACTCTATAAATGCAAGTTTATACTGAAATTTTCAAAGTAGTTCCTCTTTTATAAGAAGAAATTGCATGATAATTTGGTCAAGAAACTAAACCAAGATGAGGGCTCCTTAAAACAGAATAAATTAACTAGGTGAACTGAAATATATATAACCTTATACCTGAAAGCAGTTGTCAAATCAATTAGTAAACATTTTTAAAATAACAGATTACTGAATATCAACCAACAGGGCTTTACAATGAAAACTACTCTGTCCGATTTATCTAATCTAATATTGAGTAACAGAGTTGGTTAACTGGGAAAAGGAATTGATTTAATTTGTCTTACCTTTATTTTAATAAGATTTTTGGTTCTGCCATGTGAAGAATATTCATCAATAGCCTGAGAAAATGATTTATACTATAAAGCTACTGAGTGACTGCACAAATCCTTACAGTTGTATTCAGTAGAGACCTATCATGGACATAACAAAACATATATTGAGAAAAAGGCATATGAATGTTCACAGCGGCTTTATTTGTAACAGCCTAAAGTAGAAACATTACAATGTTCATCAATAGGTGAACAGATAAATTCATACAATAGAATTCTTCTCAGCATTAAAAAGAGTGAACTACTGATACATGTTAAAACATAGATGAATCTCAAAATAATTATGCTGAGTAAAAGAAGCCAGACAGAAAAAGGAACATAAAATGCGATTCCATTTACGTAAAATTCTAGGAAATGCAAACCCACGTGTAGTGACAGAAAGTAGATCAGTGATTGCCAGGGGGCAGGAGATGGGAGAACACAGGCAGGGAGGAGTGGGGCGAGAGGATTATGAAGGGGCAGGAGGAAACTTTATCAGTGTTGAATTGTCTTGATCTTGGCGATGGTTTCATGGGTATAGACGTATGTTAAAACTGATCCAATTGTGTACTTTAAGTATGGTCGTTTCTTGCATATCAGTTATACCTCAATAAAACCATTAGAGAAAATAAAATTAGTAAGGAATCCCAAATCAATCCAATTAGAAACATTATGTGTGACATGCACATTGAACCGTCAACCCTTCAACGTTATAGGCTCCAGCTATTTTAAATACTGTACCTGAAATGCGACATCTGACATATGGGCTAAGAGAGGGCTCCCCTGGCAGCCTATGTTGAATGCTAGTAAGACTTAGGTTCTTATTTTTAGACTTAAATTAAGAAACATTAATAAACTTTTTAGTATTTTTCTGCCCACGCTCATGAGTCATGTGTATCTATCTTGAGATATGAACATCCAACTCTAGAGACATCTCATAATTGATACAAAGAGCAGGAAATGTGTCATTTCACCTTTGTCACTCGTGCCAACACAATGATTGGTACATAATAGACATTTGATAAATATCTGTTGATTACATGACATGGTGCTAATAAAGCTATTTTCTCCTGTTGATTTAAGAAGTAATACTCTTTCTAGAGTACCACTTCTAGTTTGGGGAATAACAAGATTCAAGAAGCAATAGAGACGATAAGGAGAGAGCAGAAAATTGCAAAGAAGGTAAGTGATATTAAGTCTCTAAAGACAGAATAAAAGAGCTTAGAGAGAAATCTAGGGGTGAGGTGGAGGTTTGGGGCTGTTAGGATTTAATTCAAAGGTGTAGGAGGTAAAAGGCCAAACCCTCACTCTTGAAAATCAAGTTTAAGTATTCCTAACCTGCACTGGAAAGAAAGAGAAGGGATGGCCTAACATGGCACCTGGGTTTATTCTAATATAAGGAAGACATTTTCTCAATTCTCTACTTGGTCAGACACTAGAATACCA